TTCTCGACATTTTTAAATGGATTTCGATTCAAGATCCCCATTTTCATTGACTATATCATTGGCTATTGCAAATGCAAAAACATCATTAATGACTATATCATTTTAATTCTGCTTAATCCCAGTGGAAATATAATTTATTAAGATCTCATCATTATCTACAATTTTTTCGCATCTTCATTGTTTTCAAGTACTTGAACCTTTTCTAGGATTATTTCTTTGATGCATTTTTTGGTTGTTATTTAGAGAACTCTTGAGTCTCTATAATTTTAGTGCAGCCAACATTTTGCTTTTGCTTTCTTTTTCTCTTCAGTCTTGGATTTTTATTTTTGAAACTGACAGGTCTACCATGCTTTTAGCGCATAGTAGATTCATTTGCTATTGTCTTAGTACCTTTTTCAACAAGGATATGAATTCGAGTAGAAGCATTCAAAACTGGGATGTCTGAACTAGTTATTTTATATGCATCAGGCAATTGATTTGCAATCTTTTACAAATGAATAATTTTCTAAACTTCTAGTTCACTTTGACCTATTCAAGGGTCTAAATAAGATATAGATAATGCATCCCAAGTTAATTCCGGGTTTTTGAACTTTGTTCCTCTCCCTTTAATGCTAGGAACAAATTTTCATCAAAATGATAATCAGCAAATCTTATTGTGAAAAGATCACCAGCCATCGATTCAAAATATTTAATTATAAATGGTGATTCAAAATTAATATAAATTCTCAGTGTTCTTTGGGAAACCGCTTTAGTGCGCTGTGTAAGAACAATAGGAACATATATAGCACAACAAAAAATCTTTAAAGGGGATATATTTGATTCAATCTTAAAAACAAGCTCTAATAATGAATGCTTATGATAAGCAGTTGGTCTTAATTAAATTAATGCTATAGTATGCAATATAACATGACTCCAAGCAAAAGAGGGTAACTTTGATCTCATAAGCAGCAATCTTGCAATCAATTGTAAACGCTTAATAAAAGATTTAGTTAAACCATTTTGTGTAGGTATATGAGGAACCAGATGCTCAACAATAATCCCATTTGACATATAATAATTATTAAATGATTGGAATGTAAATTCTTCTACATTATCAAGTTGGATCCTTTTTATTATATAATCAAAAAATTATGCCCTCAATTTTATTATTTGTGCAACAAGCATTGCAAATGCAACATTACATGTAGATAATAGGTAAACATATGACCATTTTGTTGAAATATCTATCAATACCATAAAATATCAAAATGGTCAAGTGCAGGATTTATAAACTTATAAATATCTCCTTAAATCTGTTCCAAAAATGATGGAGATTCATTTTTTATTTTAGTTGTAAAAAGCCTAGTAATTAATTTACCAAGGAAGCAGGCAAAAAAAAAAAAAAAAAAAAAAAACTTGATAATAGAACTTTTAAGTTCTTTAATGGGGTTCATGTAAATTTTCTATAATTCTCCACATCATAATAGCACCCGGATGACCAAGTTGATCATGTCAAAGGATAAAGACATCTAAATTGACTAATTTCTGATTTGTTACAATATTGGATTCTATTAGATGTATATGTGTATAATATAATCTAAAAGAGAAAGTTAACATTTTCTCTATTATTTTCTTTTTTCCGAATGCACAAGTTGACATGGAGAAATTTTATTCCATTTCATCCATGGTTTCAATATGAAAATCATTACGACGTATATCCTTAAAACTTAATAGATTTCAATTTGATCTAGTGGAATATAGGGCATCATGTATTAATAATTTTGTTCCTCTAAGCAATAAAATGCAAGTTTTTCCAAAGCATTCAATCAACTTTGCTATACCAGATATTATATGAACATTAGTCTCCATTAACTTTAATTAAGAAAATTAATTCTTATTTTTCTAGATGGTATGTGTTATGTTACTATCAACAAAACATAGGTCTTCATTATTAATCTTTGCATCATTCAAGTCCATTTAATTTTAATAAAAACAAATGAAATAAAAAAAGACAAATATTCAATATCTATATTCTTAAGTGATTTATTCTTTTATTGAATACATAAAAAGGACATTACATGTAGAAAAGAGAAATAGCCACTTAGGGCAAATTATTTAAAAGGACATAACAAGTCAAACTTTTGGTTGGGTATTAGCAACACCATGAAACTTTTCAACATCTTCAAAAAAATCTACAACATCAAGATGTGTATCAAGGTCCACATTATTATGCTCAATGAAATGCATTTATGGACCTTTTCCTTTTCCCTTTTCATTAAATGAGGTTTGATAAAAATCAACCAAATGCCTAGCAATGCAACAAACACACTCCCAATATCCTTTTGCTCCACATTGATAACAAAAACTTTCAAGGTCTTTTGCAGGGTTCTTTTATAAATTTTTTCTCCTTACATTCTTTTGTCCAACAAATTCATATTTAAAGTTAAAACCACTATGGTGCCAAATATTATTTTGACCATAGGCATGCCCATAGCCATAGTTATTGCCATGATTATGGCTACGACTATGGCTACAACCATGCCCATTATTATTATACGAGGTTGCATTTGTCTCAAATAATGAGACTAAACTAATAGGTTATGATCGATGATTTTTTATCGAAGGATCATTATTTTGTTCAGCAATAAGAAGACATAGTATCAAATCTGAATATTTTTTAAAGCCACCCTCTCGATATTGTTGCTAAATGAGCAAATTTGAGGCATGAAAAATGGAGAATGTTTTCTCTAACATGTCTTCATGAGTAATATTTTCTTGGCATAATTTTAATTGAGATAAAATGCAAAATACTACGGAATTGTACTTACTATTAGATTTCAAATCTTACAATCGTGGATGCATCCATTTGTAATGAGCTTTGGCAGCATCATCAATTTTTGGTGATCATATCTTTCTTTCAAATTCTGCCATAATTCAAATGGATTTTTTATTATCAAATATTCAGCCTTCAATCCCTTAGGGAGATGATGGCAAAGAAATATTAGCACTTTAGTG